CTGCTGGTGCTTCAGGTGGTGTGGCGCTAGCCTGATGCTTTGGTTGAACTGACTCAGGATCTGGCATGTTTGTTTCTGCTGCTGGCGCTTGAGCCGGACCGGTTTCAAGCTGCTCTGGTTGCACTTGCTGCGGATCAGAATCAGAAGACTCTACTCTTTCTGCTGCTGGTGAAATGTGTTCAACCCGCTCTGGTTGCATGTGCGGCTGCTCAGGTGGCTCTTGTGGTTGAAGTGGCTGATGCTTTGAAGTTTCTGCTGCTGATGCTTTAGCTGAAGATGAAGAGGTTTGCTGTTCTTGTTTCACTTCTTTTTTTCACTTGTGCTGCTAGGTGTGTTGTTTCGTTCATCAAGGCCTTGTGCATGATACCAGACTTTTCCACCATGACACGCGATTTGAGTGCAGATGCATAACGTGTTTCCAACTCCTCCAGGACAATCTTGGAGACCATATCCCTCGGATGTCAGATGCGTGAACATTCAGCCCTTGAAACCAGTAACAACAGGGCTAAAATAAAAGTCCATGCACACTGTGCACACTCATGGTCGCAACTAAAGAGAAGTGAACATTAAGCCCTTGAAAACAGTAACAACAGGGTGCTAAAATAGAAGTTCATGCACACTCATGGTCGCAACTAAAGAGAAAATCGCTCAACACAAGCAAGCTTTCCAGAGTTCGAGCTCACATATTCTCTGAACAACTGCAGGCAAGCTGGATGCATGAAGGTGGAAAGGGCTCTGATTCCAAGGTTTTGACTCTTGATCGCTTTCTCAACAACCAATGCGCAGGCTGGTATGTAGACTACATCTCCCGGAAGCAATGTACCACCTCTCAAGGAAGACAGACTGTCACGGTCATCAGTGGTTGAGCTGCCACTGAAAAGATCAGCAGTGGTTATGTAGTCAACCACATCCTGATGGGGTTGCGGTTGTGACTTGTGATAAAGGATAGATTAACAAGTTCAGAACAACTTCAACGAACATGGGTTTGTGTTTGTTGCATACTTATCACTTGCCCAAATCCTTGATGGAAAACGCATCGTCAGTAGACTTCAGCTCTCGAGATTGGTAGAGTTCCACTGCTTCATCTCGGTCAATGATCCCAATCACTTTCTCACCATTCATGTGATAGTAGATGCAAGGCATACCAGTGGGAATAAAGCCAGCATAGTGAGAACCCTCTGCTGCGCCAAGCAAGAAAGAACCTTCAATCTTTCCAGCGAGTTTGTGGGCATCAGGGACAGCTTGCAGTGATTCCAACCTTGGAAAATTATTAGCTGCTGAGCCTTAAATCATATGAAACATTTTGCGTCAAAGATACAAAGCTGGGAACAGATATGCAAATGACAGTTCAGTTACTAAGCTACCCTCCAAACAAAGCCCTGAAACCTCAAGCTAAGCCCGACACTTCTTGACAATAGTTTCCCTGTTCAAGTCCTCTAGTGGACATGACGACACTTCATCGCAAGCAGCTTGAATCAAGTAGTGCAAACTCAAGCTGTAAGCTGGAGCTTCTGTTTGTCGGGTCACTCTATCTCTCGATGGATTTGCTTTGAGCTTCTCGGTGAATTCAGTTCCAAATTCACACAGTTCTTTGGAAAGTCGCTTGCGCATAGAAGTGGCAGTATCTTCCGGCAATCCTGCGTCAGCCTGACCCAAGCTGATAACTGATAGACTAACAGAACCCAGACAACACTAAAACCATGCAAATTAAAACATAAAAGCTTGCTTGCACTTGCGCCAAAGCAAACAAGGATCATCCAAGCATTTCTTCAAGGTTGACCGCTGACAACGGGCAACCATCGGAAGCATTCCAGAAGTAAGAACCACATTGTTGATCATAGCCTGCGGGGTGTCCAAAACATTGAGTTCACACTTGCTCGGCCAGTCAGGCCTCACAATTGCTTGGAGCAAAGGCAGGTCATCTTCACCAAGCTCTGCATTGGCTTTCTTGCGTCTTCTGGTCTTGGTTTTGTCTTCTTGATCATCTGGCTGAGGGATTCCTTCTTCTGCTGCTAGGGCTGCTCGGCGCTTCCTTTCTGCAGCTTCTTCTGCTCGTTTTTTGTTTTGCTGCTTCTTTTGCAGCTTGCTTTTCTGCTGCCTTCTTGACACGCTCTGCTTCCTTTGCCTGAGCTTTTTCTTCCAAAGCCCGTGCCTTCATCAAGGCAATCTGATTGGACTTCCACTGTGAAGCAACCCTCTCCACAGCGCCTGCAACCTTCTTGAGCACATCAATCGCATCTTTGTGGTTTTGCATCAGTTCCTCCACTTGATCATTGGTACGCTGAAGTTCCAGCATAGTGTGTCTCACATAGTTCATGAAACCAATGGTGTGCACATGTCGTGCTTGCCAATTTTGGTCTTTGAAAAATTCATCCGCTTCAAGGTGTTCTAAGATGATTTCTCCAGTGTCACCAGCACTTCTGGTTGCAGACAAGTCCATCAATAGCTTCAAACACTCCAGCCTGTGGCTGAGGGTCTTGATGTTTGGATCCCCTTCCACAGCTACCTCAAATGATCCGTATACATCTGCGGCTTCATTCAAGACATCTTCAGCCATGGTAGAGGCTGTTTCAGCAGCTGCCGTGGCAGTGTTGAACTGCTTGAGAGTTTGCACCCTCTGCTTTGCAGCGTTTGCCTGTGGAGAAATGTTCTTTCCCGCTTTGCTCTTGGCTGCTGCTGTAGATGGAGTGTGTGAAGCATTGGCAGAACTTCCTGAACAATGCAAAGAAGGCATAGAGGAGCCCAGCAGGTTTGGTTCTTCCTCATCAATGTCTTTCTTGATCTCTCGAGCAAGACCTTGCAGTCC